GGGAGAAGGGGATTGAGGGGTATTATGTTTAGTACACATGGTGTGGGGGATCATGGGGAAAACAGTGTAGCACAGAGAAGGCAAATAGTGAATCTGTGCCATCTTACTACACTGATGGACAGTGACTGCATTGGGGTATGGGTGGGGACTTAATAATATTGGTAAATGTAGTAGCCACATTGTTTTTTCATGTGAAGTGTTCATAAGAGTGTTTATCAATTATACCTTAAAAAAATACAGAAAAAAACATGGATATATATGTAAGAAACATTACATTTTCATCTGCTTTTTCTCTGTTGTTCAGATTGGGTAATTTCTGTTGCTGTCAGTTCAGTGGTTCTTTCCTCTGTCCCCTCTATATGGTTGTTGAGGCCATCCTCAATTACTGTATTTTTCAGTTCTGAAATTACTGTCTGGTTCTTCTTTACATCTTCTGTTTCTTTGCTGAGGCTGTCTGTTTTTTCATTTGTTTCAAGCTGTGCATAAATTCTCATTGAAGCATTTTTATTATGGCTGCTTTAAAATCTCTCAGATAATTCTAACATCTGTTATCTTGATGTTGACATCTATTGCTTGCCTTTTTTCATTCAGGTTGATATGGTTCTTGGTATAACAAGTGATTTTCAGTTGAAACCTGGACATTTTTGTGTTATAAGACTCTGGATCTTGTTTAAACTTTCTGTTTAGACTTCTCTGACACTCAGAAAAGATTTCTGACACTGCTCTGGAGGTGGGGTGGGAGACAAGAAGGGTTACAACACTGCCATGTTACAGCCAGGTGGAGATAAAAATCCAGGTGCCCCAGTTGGCCTCCATTGATGATACCCAAGGTGGAGAGGTTTCTCATTACTGCTAAGTGGGGTGCTCCCCATGTAGTCTCCACTGACAGTCCAGTCAAGATGGTCTCCATTACCTCTGGATGATGGTGAAAGTCCTGACTACTCTATACTAGGCTTCTTCTGACCCCCACCCCAGCAGGGAGGAGGAGGGGTTCCTGTTACTGGCTGGCAGGGTTGAAAGCCCTGGTTCTTTCCTTGGCCTTCGCTGACACCATCCTGGCGGGGCGCTATTGGCTAGAGGACTGGTTACATTAAATAGAGAATAAAATATGTAAGTTGCAAAAATGTTACATGTAGTGTGATTGCATTTTAAAAGAAAAAAGTGTTATGTACATAGAAAGTAAAAATCTAGAAGAATGAGTAAAAACTAGTGAATGGTCCAAGAGTACAGGAATTCTTGACTTTCCTGTAGTATTTCAATTTTATTTATTTTTAAAATAATGATTGTACTGTCAGAAGCAGTAAAAAGCAAACTTTTAAAAAAGGCATGGCTAGATGCTTTTGTTAGATATACTTATGTGTTAACTTTTATTATTAATAAAAAAAGCAGGGTATAGAATAAAGGTATCTTGATTTTCAGTGTGTAGTACTGTCCGCTATACCATAATATCCTCCTCAGTTGTACCAGTAGGTCGTATTCTACATAGTTCATACTGAAGAGAGTAATTTTGATCCTTAACTTGAATGGAACTTTATTGAAATGTTGAAATGAAGTTTTATTAATGCAACATGGGTTAAAGGAGAAAGTTTTTGACTTGTGACCTCTGGAAATTAGAATTTTTCCAGTTTCACTATATTTTATTTTCATTATACTTTCTGAAAACATCATCTGGCTAGTAGACACCAATTTTCTAATGTTTTTAAAACTTTGGAAAAACTAACATGTGGCAGTATTTCTTATTTGAATTTTCATGAGTTTTAGGAATAGTTAATAAAACAGTCTTTTAGATCTATCTTAAAGAGTACACATGCTTTTATTTGTATATGTACAAAAGAATAGTTTTATATGGGGGTGAAATGTGTAAAAGCTTGTGATATACCTGAAAGAGAAGTAAACTGGTAAAATTTGGAGCAAATTATAGACAAAGGAGGTGAAAGCAGAGGCATGCTGACCAGGTCTTTATGAAGTGGTCTGTGTACTGACAACCTTCTGGCCATACTCTAGGATGTGCTCTACAGACACCGCTGTAGGAAATTACGGTGTGGCGTTTTTGATCTGTAGCCAGTTGCTGTTTATCTCCAGCTTGCCTTTAGCTTAATGTGTTTCCAGTGTCTACATGTAACATCTTTATTACATCTTCTTTACCAATTTAATTATTTTAGCACTGCTGTGACAGGCAGCTTGGGAAATCATAGTTTAGATTAAATAAATGGAATAGGATGAAGACCTTGAGTCGGACCTGTTCTTTGTCTATGAAATTTTACTGCTTTTTCACTAAGTCTTAGATATGGCATATTTTTTCTTACATTTGTGCTGCTAAGCATGTAAAACCTGGGAGGGGAAAAAGAGCAAAACAACAATGATAATTAAATTTGGGAATCTAAAGCCACAACCTTGTGTGAAAATATTAATCATCAAGCTATGTAGAAAGATCATGTGTTAAGTTTTTCTTTTCTGTAATAAACATCAAACTGAAATACTATTCAGTGTTCTATATGTGTGTGGGTGGTCAGCATCTTCAAAAAAACAACTTTGGACACCAGTTTGTTACATAAATATAGCAGATAACCTAGGACTATAACCTGACTTGTTCTCTGAGGCAGGAATATCATCCTGACCTTCCTACAACTAGTGTTTCTCTATGTGTCCAGCAGATGCCTTACTTTGTGATCTCCAGAGGTGCCTATAACAAAATGAAGCTTCCTGGGCCGTTCTTTGGAATCAGAATCTCTGGATGTAAGGCCTGGAAGATTAAAATCTTCATTTTAAATGTTTCATTAGGTTATTTTTAATCACACTAAAGTTTAAGAACTAGACCTTCTTTAGGAAGTACATTTTTGTACAAGTTGCAACAGTAGAAATTAATATAATTCATTCTGGCTACAATTCTTTTGTGTTTTGTTTTGTTATGTTTTGTTTTTAACTGATAAAAAAAATTTTTTTTTTTGACCAAGCTCAGTTGTAACTATGTTGTCTGATGAGGGTAGGGTTCTGGAATCCTCCTTATTATATGCTTATGTGTTTTGTTGGTTGTATTATGTTTAATCAGGTAGTTGCTTTTTAAAAAAAATTCCCCCAGGGGCACGGGGAGGGCTGTGCAACACAGAGAAGACAAGTAGTGATTTTACAGCATCTTACTACGCTGATGGACAGTGACTAATGGGGGTATGTGGGGGGAACTTGGTGAAGGGGGTAGTCTAGTAAACATAATGTTCCTCATGTAATTGTAGATTAATGATACAAAAAAAAAAAATTCCCCCAAACCGTTTTTTCATTAGTTTAGGAATTGATGTCTTTACTAATAAAATTTTACTGAAATGGCTTCTGAGTTTTTGAGTTACTGTAGTATAATAAACAATACTTCAGCAATCACCTTTGTATGACTTGTTGGTGAACATTATTTCTGGCTGTCTGCATAGACTTGATGGTCAAGAGGGCTGTGTTGGTCCCTAGCAAATGTCAGAATGTTCTCTTCAGCATGCTGGCACCCCATCCCCTCTCCCTCCTTTTTAAACTTGGGGCAACATGATGGAATTAAAAACTTGTCCCACTCTGATTTTTAAGAAAATTGTACCTCATCATTGAGTTCAGGGAAGTCAACTGCTCCATTCATTAAGTAGGATTCCAAATAGCTTATTATAAAGATATCTTTTGTTGTTTTCTTGCTCCCTGAAGGAATGTGTAAAACAGAATATTAGATTTTTATAATGAATTTTTTTGAATGGGGTGATTGGTGATTATATTTAACTCTTTGGAAACAGACCGACCTACCAGTTTCCCTTTTATGTTGCCTTATAAAGAATAGTGTCTCATAGAACACGAAATGATTTACATTTCATGGAATTAATTTAAAGTAATAAAAAAGTAAGTTCAGTTGGAGCTAGGCACATTTTAAGTACTAGCTGTATGTCACAAATGACAACTCTATTGGACAGAAGTAGTACAGATAATTTCTATCATTGCAGCAAGTTCTTTTGGACAGTGCTGTACCAGACTGGCCATTTTTAAAAGAGAAGAGGCAAATGAAGAGGAAAATAATAAAAATCTGAATTTCTACCCTTCGTTCCGCAGTGCAACTTTTCCTGCCTTCTTATATCCTTGATTAAAATTGAGAGAAAAGTCTGTTTTGAGTGTCATCACTTTGACCTTGTTTTTTTAATGTTTATTTCTGTTTTTCAGGCTGGCAGTGATGGTGAAAGCATAGGAAACTGCCCTTTTTCCCAGAGGCTTTTCATGATTCTTTGGCTCAAAGGAGTTGTATTTAGTGTCACAACTGTTGATCTGAAAAGGTAAGACTTGGGTGCAGTTTGGGATCAAACGTAAGTTCAGTATATATTTTACTGTTTTCAGTTTGATCCTCTCCCCATTCCTCACTTTGCTTGCCTATGTTCTCTACAGGAAATGTATTAAAGTTCAGCTGTGATTTATGGACAAATTTACTTTGTTAAAGTATTATCGGTAGTTCACAATGTCAGTAAATTGCATGCGGACACTCAGTATTTTTAGGAACTTACTGTATGTTTACCTTGAATATCAAGAGCGGTACCAGGGGCTAAATTTCCGTGTGGGTGCAGTGAAGTATTTGACTTTCTGTTGTAAACAGTGCTATGAAGAACTTTATGAGCAGACAACTTCTTGTGCTAAACACATGGCATATGTAATCTGGATCCTTAAAGACAAGAATGGGATTTTAGGAGGGTGAATACTATTACGGTCTATTTCATTTTAATCTGCTTTGCAGGGAATAATAGGAAATTTCTATAAGTAATAATTTCTATACGTTAACCATTTAAAATTTTCTATTTGAACCACATTTGGTTGAACATAATTGTAAAATAAGAGCAATTATCCCTGGCTGTGCGATTGTTCACACTGGCTGAAGATTGCTTCTAACTTACTTTCCAGAGACCAAAGTGGAGGGGACTGAGAAGAGACCTAATAATTAATAAGTTCCTTTTACTCAAGAAATTCTCTTTTTCTTTAGCAAACAGGCCTGAGGTGAAGAACATTCATACTTAGGGAGGGGAACAAGAGTTCATACTTAAGGGGAAAACAAGAGTTAAATTAAGGGTTAACAGATATACCAACAGAAAAATCTGGGATTCAGCAGTGGCAATGTATTCCTCTTTATATAAATGCAACAGCATGGTTTCCTGCTTATTTTTCAAGTGTATCAGTCATGAATAGTGTCCAGGGAAAAATATTGACAGGCTGTTGATGGGTGGTAGAATTCATGTATGTTATCCCTCTGGGCCTCACAAGGTGAGAGATACCTGAGAACTGTAATCTCATTCCTAGTTCTAGGTTAGCATTCTCTGGGACATCTGTCAGTTCTTTAACATTTATTCTTCACTTAATGCTAGTGGACTTATTTGAGATTTTGTAGACTAAAAATTTATTGAAAAAAAAAAGCCATGAAGTCTTCCAGGAACCCCTTTAGCTATGAATATGAATGTAGAGATAAGCCTTTGGGGTAGTAAGAGTTAAAACTGCAGTCTCTTCTGAAGAAATACCTAGCTCATACTAGACAGAGCTATTATGAGAATGAAATAATTCATGAAATTACCCCTCTATTACTATTTTTTCTCTACGTGCATTCACAAAGGAAGTTTGCCAGTGTGACTTCTAAAAATAGACCATGCCACTAGGCACACACCCTTATTGTGTCTTAAAATACATGGATTTCTCCTATTCCATTTTTGGCTTGGAGCAAGGGAGTTGACTGCCATGCTTTGAAAAAGCCTCCTTTCAACAGGTCAATACAGTGCTTGATTGTGATACATACCAGTGATAGTGCCATAAACATGGAAGTCTGGTTCAGAAAAGGAAGTGAACTTATAATAGCTATTTCAGAATCATCTTTCACTTTTCATTTATAAACTTTATAAGGCATTTTTCCTTTAAGTTGATTAAAATTTGTGTATGTTTACGAGCAATGTACCCAACATGTAAAAAGTGACACATGGGAAGTAGGATGAAATATTTAAGGTCTCCTAATTAGAAAATATTACTACTCAAAGTAGGATGTATGTTTATTTCCTAGGGCCTTGCATAAAATCAACAGAACATTCAAGATTGGAGCCATGTTTAGTTTTCTTTAGAAATCTTAGGTCTACAGTACACCTAAAAAATGCTTCTTAAGAGCAATTAAAAGTGTACAGTAGTACCTGGTACTGTACCCCCAGCCCCTGGTGATGTTTCCCCTTCACAAATATCATTGCATTTAGGTTTGGTTTTTATCCTCCAGACCTTTACACACTTATAGTCTTGAATAAGATTTTTCACAGTTATGGTCTTGAATAAGATTTCAAAGAGAAGATATCCCCAAAAAGCGAACATTGGCTCCAAAAGCCAGGGTAAAATGAAGTTATCACAGAGGAATAAAACATCCTGTGGTAAAAAGTACCTTTCATAATACATTTGTAACTTCAAAACTCTGAATATGACTGTTTTTAGAAAGCTGTGGGGGAGAAAATGCCTAGCGTGTTATTTTCCTGATAATTGCCCAATTCTTCCTTACAAACTCTGATCCCAGAACAAACCGGTGGAGAGCAATAGAACTCAGCTGAGAGCTTTTTAGAAGCCCACTCTGTGTTCTGAGAAAATTATAGTTACATGACATTTCATCCATAAGAACAAGCCAGTTTCTAGTGCTGGGACTGTGTGACACATTCCCTTTGAAATCTCAGTTGGTGTTTATGACTCTGCTGATGGTACTCATGTGCTCCTGTGAGGCTGGAACCATCTCCCATTGCTTGCCTGCCAGTGCAGCCTTAATGCTTTAGTGGGAGGCATTTCTAAACCTAATTTTATGTTCATGCTGCAATTGTATTATGGAACTTGCAGATAAAAGAAGTGCCCAGGCTTCTGAAGGAATTTAGGTTTATATCAACTACCATTTGAACAAAAGCGTCAGATAATTATAAGTGAAAATATTAACATTTGAGGCATATATTAAAGATGTTATCACCTGTCACCAAATGACAAAGTGAAAAGCGTTAGGAGTAGAGACCTGGTTCTGTGGGAAGAGCTCTGTCACTGATTTCCCTGGGACCTTGGGCAAGCCACCTCATGTTCTTGGAGGTCAGTTAACCTTATTTTTAAATTCAGGTAAAAGGAAGGGAAAAATAAACGTATGTTTCTTCAGTGTCTACTATGTGCTGAACACTGTTCAGGGTATTTTTACTACTCTTATCAAACCATTTATAGACCTGTAACTGAATAGAAGAATTCATTGTTTTATTACACTGATGTTATAGGTCCTTTTTAGTGACAGGTTCATGGCAGTGATCAAGATCTTTATTTGAAGACTGTCACTGTCTTCACTATGCTCTGAAGTTCCTAAGTGAGAGGTCAGCCTTTTTAGAGCACAGTTAACTCAGAGAGGTGGGCAAGGGGGAAGAGAAAGAAGAAATATGAGAACAGCAATGAAAATATGAGAACAGCTATAACCAAGTTAGCTGAGTGTGGCCATATTTTGTCCTATACTTTTTGGTGTAAACTTCTCTGGTTTTCAGAAATGAGAATAGAAATGACACCTTTAAGAAATCAGCTTTTTATTGTATAAGCAGTGATCTCTACTATATTACCAGTGAATTAGACTCCCTCTTCAATGGTATTCTCTGAGAAAATACATAAATTGAAGAAGACCACTTTAAAAAAGTCTGGGAAATGAAGCTGATCCTTTGTCTTGTCACAAATGATTTCCTTCTGCTTCACATTTCAGCATACCATTTGCAACATTTTTTGTGAGACCCATGTGTAAACTGCCATAATAAAGGCTTAAGGTTTTGCAAGATTATTGTGATAGTTTAAACTTTAACAATTTTGTAATAGTTTAAATGTTACAATGAAGCTCTTAAACTGATAGTTCTGCATATCTTAAAAGGCAGTTATAAACTCAGAACAAAATCTGACTTCCAAAGAGATTCATCAGATAGTTTGTTCTCATCAACATGTCTCTGTGGTTTCACACTTCTGAAAACAGTCTTCAGCAAGTTGAGAGATCAGTTTGATTTACAGGTAGATCTTTAGTAACAGCAGCATGAATGACATACAGAGGGACTAAATGGAATACACAAGCCAGCCTTCTAGAGAAATCATCCATTTCCTGCTGCTGGCCAGTTAGGAAAGGACAGACTACATTCTTCCCTTTTGTAGAGTTGACTTGAGCTACATGAAGCCCTTGTCAGAAGAGTCTCACAATATGTCCACAATATGTGTCGCATGAGTGCATTCTGAGTCACATATATACCCAGTGTGTTGGGGCAGGGTGGGGGTGTGTTGTGGAGAAGGAAGGAGAGAGAGAGAGACAGGGACTTTCAGACAGAGAGGGAGCCACATATCTTTATTACTATTTTTTTCAAGATGATTTTAAAGGCGATAAATCCTGTTGAGGCCTCTAAGAGCTGAATTACAAAAATGGATTGTTAAGTGAATGTTTTTCTAAAGCTGTTAATCAGTATGAACTCTACTTATATAAACTGTGTTAATAAAATCTGTTAATCAGTAGAAGCTGTATTTGAAACCTTTTCATGATACCATTTTGTTTTAAAATGATAGGTCCACAAATTGACACTAAAGCACACAAAGATTAATAGTATACTATATTTAATTAAAATAAATAAAATCCTTTGACTGTTTGTACTGGGACACATAGATAAATGCTTAGAAACTGGGATCTTGGTGTGCATGTGTTTTAGTTTGTCCATGATTCATTCATTCAATTAGTGATTCTAGTATTAGTTAGAATATAGCAAATACAGTAAAGAATAATTAATAGAAGTAAAGTGTTCTGAAACAAAGGGTTTGTGGTGTTAACTTTTTTTTTGCTTGTCATTTAGCATCTACTATTCCCTTGATTTCTGTGAATTAATTTTATCCCCTAAAAATCAGCACCTTCAAAAAAGAACTCAATTTAAGAGATAAGTTCTACATACTTAGTATTTTTCTCACCATTTAATGAGTTACCTAGTTACAGGTAAGTCATTGTTGTGAACCAGCTCCAATGTCCTGTGGCTACTCTCTACTCATTTTATCCAAAGCTGCTGGAACTGAGCCACCAGCCTAACCTCCTTCCATTGTTACAAGTGTACTGAATTAAATTTTAATTGAAGTTAAGCCACTTAAATTGCTTAAAACATTAGCTTCTATAAGGTTTCTCCTTCTCATTCCTTTTCAAAGCTCTGTTTCTTGTTTTAGTTTCTCTTATTTCCTTTTCCTCATCTGGAAATAAAATGCAAGAGAACAGAATACATTTTTTATCTAGAAGACTAAAAAAAAATACTACTCTGATAAGTAATTTTAAAAAACCCAAAACTTTGAAGAATATTCATGTTCTTATCTCAAGGTGTGAATTCTGTGCAGTTTGCTTTTTCTAGGTATCACTTAAGGGAAACATTTAAATGAATTTGAATAATTTGTGAAATGTTCATTGAAAGCCTTTTATGAAGTAAACCAAAATGCCTTGAAATTTTTAGTCATTGCCTGTTGATTCCGTTTTGTTTATCTCACACTGTAGTTTCTGAAGTGTTAAGTGTCTGTGAAACATCTGTAAAATGAGCCTTTGTGGGTCACACAAAACACCTGAGGCCTTAGAATGCCATGTGAAAACTAGAAGTTGAAGAATCTTAGATTCTAGTTGGTTGATGACTTGATAGGTCTTCAAAGTCACCACGATATTTACAACTTGTCCATTTATTTGAAGTCTACTAATCTGTTTGGAGACATTAAATTTCTTCTCAAATTTATTTTCACTTGTATTAAGGACCTAACATGGTTATCCTTCATCTCAATAGTTAAACAAGGGAAATAGTTTCATCACCTTTGTTTTTGTAAAAAAAAATCTGCATAGCTTTTCAGCACAAACAAGATGAGCTATTCACGAGTCACAAATGTTAATGGAAATTGGTAATCACATGCCTGGTTTCACTTTACATACATACCTCCACATTAATCAGATTTCTTATACCAATCAGTAAATGCTAGATAACCCGTTTTGACTCAATATAGACTCAAATAGTTTAAAACTGCCAATCTTAACTCCTGCATAATGCTTTGTTAATGTACAATGAGAGGAGCAATGACTTCATTTGCATACTTTGGTTTAGTTCACTTTCACAGGCATTATTTTATTTGATCCTTACTGGTAAAGTAGGTCTTATATCCATACTACAGATGAGGAAATCAGACACAAATAGGTTGTGATTTACATAGTCACAGAGCTGATAAATGGCAGAACTATTCAACTTGGGACTTTAACCAGGTCTTTTTTTATTCAGTCTTTGTTTTTGTCTTATCTATCACACTAACTTTATCCCTCTTCTATAAATATTTTTGTTTGGTGAGCTTAAAAGCTATCATAATTTATTATAGATGTAATAGCTGTTATTTATTGTGCTGTCCTCCCCCCATGGATTATTTTAAAGCATTAATCCTTTCCCTTTCCCTCACTTCACCCTATTCATGAAAACTTATTTGTTAAAAAATATGGATGTAACTAACCTTACACTTAGGCATTAATAAACTGTTAAGTCATAAAAATGTTGATGGGTATATTTTGTAACTTTGGTATGAGAAAAGTGTTTTCCAGGTGATCACAGTTTGTATATGACAGTGTTAAGGAACATTCTAAAGTCATCGCTGGGAACATTCATGGGATATGTATGTGTAGTTCTTCTCTGTGTGTTTATACAAATTTTATTAGCTCTACTTACTTTGATGAGGTACTATTGTTCTTTCTTACCTTTGTGCTATTTTTTTTAAAAAACTTTAAAATGTTAAGATTTGAAAATAAATACGTAAACCCTAAACCATTAGGTTTTCTAGACTCTTGATTATGTACAAGGTCTTTCCTAGTTGAGGAGGAAATAAATTTTAAGTGGGATCAAACATGGGTCTGTGAGTAAGGATGTGACTGGGTGACCTGAAGACTAAAGATGATGATGGTCTTGGATGTGCGGGACCCATTAGTAACCAAAGAACAGGTGGTCGGGTGATGAGTAAAAGGAATAACAAAAGCAACCAATGAAACGAGAAACAGGAAAAGATTAGTTCTGATTTGGAGTTGAGTACTTAAAAAAGTTACTGGCATCTTAAAGATGTACCACACTGTTTAAATACATGTGGATCTGGGAGAGTTAAGTTTCATATATTGTGATCATTTGTGCTCAACTTTACCTTGTCAGATCAAAAATTGCTCAGTAAAAGAAAGCTGAAAAATAAATTAGATTTTGGCTTTTTAAAGTCCTCTTTTGGAGCTTAGGTTCTTACAGAAGTTGATAGATAACATATCTTATTTTTCTTTGGCTTAGAAGGGGAAAGATAGGCTCTAGAACTTGGGTAGAAGGAGACTCTGAGTTAGAAAATTTGGGCTGATCAGGTAATTAATCAATCTTTGTATCTTTGATTGGAATGTAGTCACATAGCAATGAGGCACTAAAGCCAGAATCGGGGCTGGGAGGAGAAGGAGAGAAAGACAGGGAGAGAGAATGAATATGAATAAGACCAGGGGAACTTGATAAGGTAGGCTGACTATAGATGTTAGGGTACACTCTGTTTTAAAAATTATTTTTAATGACAAAGTAATTCACCTTCATGATATACTTAAAGATACCTTTTATTCAAATTCTGTGCATTTGTGGTAAGGAGAAAAGGCAGGAAGGGCTGTAATGGGGGAAAGTGCTTGGAAGCAATATTTTGTCATATTGCCTTTTTTAAGTTTATGTTTTTAATTATGAAAGATTTCAAACATACCCAAGAATAGAAAAAACTGCCAGGAGCCTCCATTTAGTTATTTTGCCCATTTGCTTTGTCCCTTCTTCTCTTCTTTGTCCTCCTTTTTCTGAAATGTTTTCAAGCAAATCCCAAGAATCTTGTCATTTCACCCCTACTTACTTCAGTGTACATCTCCAGACAATATGGACAGTTTCTTTCCCAAGCGCAATGCCATTATTACATCTAGTTCCTGTGTATAATCCAATTTCCTCAGTTATCTCCAAAACACCTTTTTTTAAAAAAAGGTGATACACAAAATTTTATTGGTTTCAAATGTACAACACAGTGGTTCAGCAGTTACCGGTATTATTAAATCCTCACTCTCTTTAGTGTGGTTACTATCTATCAATGTGGAAAGATGTTACAGAATCATCCAAAAGGCCTTTTTACCTTTGATTTGTTTATATGAACATCCAAACAAATTCTACTCATCATATTTGGTTGTTCTGCCTCTTAAATTCTTCTGAATCTACAACAGCCTCTTGTAACCCCCAATTTTTGCTTCTTCCCCCATGCCATTGGTAGACATCTAATTAGTTGAAGTGTAGATTGTCCCAAATTCTGGATTTGGCTGATTACTTCCTTGTGGTATCACTTAATTTTGTCCTCTAAACTCCTCATATTTCCTGTAAATAAACTTTGTGATCTCAGGACTACCCTGTACTCAAATTATTGATGTGGGTTTATATCTATCGATTTTCTATATTAGAAATTATAGCTGAGAAATTAAATCTTTATCTACTAATTCAATTAAACAGCACAGTCATGAACTCATTATCACAAAAATATAATTTTAGTTAAAAATGACTTTTTCAAGACATATTTAGTAGGAAGAGTGGCATTATTTTACATTTTTTGCACATCTCTAATGTCTGCCTTAATAGAAGCCAGATTATAATATCTGGTTCTGTATATACTACCCTGTGATATCACCCATCAAGTAACCTATGGAAAACTCTGCATTACAGGCCTGAGAAAATAAGGGTGAAAAAGGTAAATGATGTCTTAGTATTTTGAGACTAGTTGTGACTTCATGGACCACCTGGTGAAAGGGTCCCCTTGACTACACTTGGAGAGACAACTGCCCTAAGAGGCTTGATTCTAGATTCAGGTTCAACTTTTTTGAATGAATACTTCATAGGTGGTGATGAATGCTTCCTATTTAATCATTAGGATGCAAACCCTACTGGGTCATGTTACTGATTCTAGGATTCATTGATGGGCTTAGGGGAGCCATTTTGCTTTTTAATAGGTATTACCAACATTCCTTATTATTAATAGTTGTAAGCCTACCAGTTTCACCACCTTTATCAGTGTTCTGTATTTTCAGTTTTTCCTAATTAATGGAAAAGTGTCTTCATTGTGTAGTTTTGAATTTCTTTGGTGAGTCTTTTTATGTTTTTCCTTCTATTCATTTATTTTATCTATCACCAATTTTTTTGAGTCATCTCTTTGATTTTTTGATGACTTTTTAAATGAATCTGGGTAAAATTCTAAAGTAACATACGTAATACATATTTTAAGACTTCCTTATTCACTATAATATTTTGTCTATTCTGTGTTGCCTCTTATCTTTGGTTACACTATCTTTTCTATGTTTTAAGTGATTTCAGTATTAGATAGTCAAAGCTGATGATCTTTTTCCCTAAGTCTAGACTTCTAAGAAAATGTAAAAGAGTTAGCACTTGGATTTTGAACCTTATAGTTGAAAAGACCTATAGGAATTAGCTGCTCTTCTCCTTTATTGAAAAAGAAGAAGAAGGCCTAGAGAAGTTATGGTTTGCACAGTGAGTTGGTGCCGGAATTGAGACTAGAGAATAACTTCACCAAGTCTTTTTCCCCCTCATTCTGCCACCATTTCAGTTAGATTTGGAATGGGAATGAAGGAATTTTGTCTTTGATCAAAGTCAGATTCTTCCAATTTTCATATAAATTAAGTGCTTCATGGAGGTTTGACTCTTAGAGTACTATTGCTGCTGTTATACTTAGTAGAAAAAATACTATTTCTTACTCACTTTTATATTTAAAATTTATATTTAAAATTCTGAGAATGTGAAGTGTTGATGCCTTCTCAGAATAAAAAATGATCTGATTTTGACCCCTATTTTGCCTAACAGGAAGCCTGCAGACCTGCAAAACTTGGCTCCTGGGACCCACCCACCATTTATAACTTTCAACAATGAAGTCAAAACGGATGTAAATAAGATTGAAGAATTCCTTGAAGAAGTCTTATGTCCTCCTAAGTGAGTATCAAAGAAAATGTGCCTGGAAATAATTCCATCTCTTTAAATATTTATCTTATCTGGCTGTTGGAAACTTTTCTCCTGATGGTACTTGAGTTAAATTCACAGAGTATTAACTTGAAATGACTAGGAATTTTCTTCATTCATTGTAATTGATGCTACACAATTGTTAGAATCTGGTTAGGCCAGTAAACCATACTGTAAAAGGTAGAAATCTGATTAAGATGTAGGGTGCATGGTGAAAGTAGGTTTAGTACAGTGACATAGGTGAGGAAAGACAGGTTATTTGAGGGATATAGGTCCCAAACTGAAAGAGGACGGAGAAGGGATGGGAAAAGACAGGTTCAAAATGAACCTCGCCAGAATGTGTAAGCAGAAGTGTGGTGGGGACTGTTGGGGGAGTTCCTGTCAGGCCACTTAAAGGTAATTGGCTTTTATAGACTGTGTCCTTGGATGGTTTTTATTTATGTATTTCTTTGAGGTCAGAATGGGTGGAGAGTTGGGGGTGATGGTGGTGTGGCAAAGTGAGTGGACTCAGGAAAGGCTTTAGAGAAGGGATAACATTTGAATTAAGCTTTAATTTTTAAAAATGGCATTCAGCAGGTAAATGAAGGAGTGACAGGCATTCTAGTCAGAAGAATAATTTTGAATCAGTAGTGTTTATTTTGGGGACCTGAAGGTACGGTGGAGCATAGCATGCAGGATTAGGGCTGGTAGGCAGGAAGCCTGCTAAAAGTCTGAATAATGCCTCTGTCTACAGCTAGGCCTTCTGTTGTGAACAGAATTGCCCTCTGTTTAGCCATCTTGTACCAACCTTAAAATTTCATTTGCTTAAAGCTTATCCTCTGTCTTCTTTCCTGTCTTTTTAAGAGCCCCAGACTTCTTTTATCTCTACTTCCCAGGAGTCCAGATCTCCCTTCCATTTCCACTAAAGTTTCTAAGACCAACGTTAATAAAAACTATTTTTGACTTTTCCTCCAGGCCATGTTACATAATTAGAATACCAATAAATCAAAAACTGGGATCATTGTAAAATATAAATTGAAGATTTATACCCATCAGTAAGGACCTATTATACACATGGGTTCAACTTAGTAGAAATAAGTTGTAAGACTGTTGCAGAACCTACTAGATCCCTTTTTATTCTCAAGTCTGTCAGCTCCAAAAAGTCCTGTATTTGCCAACTTGTCTTCAGACACTAGTGAAAGTGATCTTCCTCTCATGTAACTGTAGATCACTGTATCAACATTCAATTATAAACAGAAAAACAGGTTGACTAACTTATTCATTCTCTATGAAGGAAACTATATTTTGTTTTACAGCATTGTCTGAAATGTTTTTTGTATAAATCCTTCCAAGGAAGTGTAAGTTTTTGAGTTCAGAATGCTGATAACATTACGTACCATTTCAGTCAGACAGACGTTTTCTCATATTCTCTTCTAAATTTCTTTTCCACCAATAGCAGCAACAACAAATAATTTTCATTATTCCTTCTTATGTTTTTTTCAGGGGGAATAGACATTAAGAGAAATAATAGAGCTAATGTCAAAACTTTTCGGTTTCTTGACATCCAATACTCTATAAAACATCATTGCTTTTTGAACATATATACATATAAATGTGATAGAAATTTCAGCTCCATGTGGTGAGGGAATATTTATAGAGATGATCTAAGGAGAAATAGTCTATTTCAGTTTAAATAATTCACTTAAAACTTGGAGATCTTACTGTTCTAAAGGGTTCACAATGTGAACCTAAATTCTTTCTGAAGGTACTTTCCTTATTTTCATGTTGTAGTTTATATTCTGAGGAAAGTTTCTAAAATAAAGTTTAAAATGTTTACTTTATTTAGAAGGGAGTATTTTTGATGCTGCTCGTGACTCTGCTGTTAATAACATTCAAGTATTCATTATATGCCAGGCACTACGCATTGTGGATTATTTTGATACTACCTCAGTCCTCTCAAAGACTTTCTGAAGAAATTGAAAAAGAGTAATGCAATTATTTGTCCGAGGTTTCACAGTTAATGGTGGCAGAGCTGACGTGTTTACTTTCAAAGCCCCGTCTTTGTGACTTCAAAACACTGTAGTTCCTGTATGCTTTTCTTTCTGTCTCTTAATTTCATTGAATTTGACTTTTGTAAAAGAGGTAATATGTCACTGTTTAATAGGATTGTGCTCCAGTGAGTAAAAAATTGAAGGCTGGCTAGCTCAAGCTTAGAGGAAAGGTAGGAAAGAAGGAAAGTTTACTGTAGTGAGTAAGTGGTTCCAGCAAAGTTGGTTGTCAAACTTAATGTAATGAATCCTTAAGAAGCAGATGAGATCTCACTTCTGAGGAGGTTTTATTTATATGCGCTGGAACAGCATGTTTGGATTGGGAGTGCCTCTGCGCCCCGTAACGGAAAATGCTGCTCCAAAGGCGTAATCTCTGTCACTCAGAAATGTTACTAGAGCATGAGTGGGAGGAGGTGCTTCTCGGACCACCACTTGCATTCCTTTCCTTTTCCCCTATCGGTCTGGGGAATCCAGGGACCATCCTGACTCACTGCCTTTTCCCCTTAGGACCAGGAGGTCTTCAGGTCCCTAACTGTTGCTGATCCTTCTCACACACTAATCCTTTTTGTTTCCAGATGGGATGAAGAGAAAAGGCAGAAGAGTTGTATAAGCTGGTAGACTAGAATCTAGCATTTCTCATAACATGTTTTTGGCATTTGATGATACTGAGAACAGAGTGTTTTTGTGCAAGCAGTTCTGATTTAATCAGGAGAAGTATAAATACAAGCAACTGTAGAGTTGTTTAGAATTGAGAGACTAATGAAAAGCTTAAATCAAGGAACTTTTGTTGGTCTGTGTTACTACAGGTTTTAAAGAAACTTTCACTTCTTTTCTGGGGAAAGTATGTAATTTTTTTTAGTTCCACTTGATTTAATGAAGGAACTGCTTTGCAAAAAAAACCTTTAAAAACCTTTGAAATTTGCATTTTTAAATGTTGCAGGCCTATATAGATGGCTGACATTGATAGAAGGATCGAGAAAGCTATTAAAAAAATTTTGGGGAAGAACTCTGCAAAGTGTTATTAAAAATGAGAAATATAGACAGTAAAAGTTGAATTTACAAGGATAATTTAATAGGCTATGTAACCAGACTTTATTTTTATATTAACATGAGAAAGGAGAAAATGGCTGAGATCTTTCCTAAGATGGAAATATTGTTCAGTAGTCTACTGTTAAAGGTCTGTGATATTACACAGAATAAGGAACTGCTCTGAAAGTCTAAATACCCTGGATGCTCATGTCTGTGCTGTTGTTGACATAAAGCCTTTAAATTAGTTATTTGCCTTCCTTTAGTTTAATGTTGACATGAATGCTCACAATAAGTGAAAAGTGTTGTTTCATCAAGCTATTTGCTGCAACTAATAATAAAGGACAAATTATTAAAATCCAGTGTTTGGGGGAATGCAGAAAAACTTGGCAACTGATTTTGGACCTGCTGGTTCAGAATTTGATTTATCTTTTAGAGAGAACCTGATCTGTAATAAAAACAAAACAACACTGGAACTGGGCACAGAAATCTGAGTTTAAGTTTGGTGATACTTTTAATTCAGTGATTCTGCCAAGTATGTAAGCTTTCTGGAGTATTATTTCCTTCTAGGCAAAATAAGAGTTTGAGGTGAATGGTCTCTGGTAGCTATAGTGTTGTAGGCATTAAATTAATAAATTTATAGTACAAATTCAGTGGTTTGTCTTGGAGAAGAACAGAACATGTTTAACTTGCTTTAAAGAAGAGTGTTTTGTTTTTTAATTGTAGTAGCATCTTTTTCAGTATGAATAAGGATATGCTGATTGCAAATCCCTCTTCATTAAAATAAGTCTCTAGTAAGTATGCTTCTATTTGCTCATCATTATATCCCCAGCACTTAGTATAATGCCTGATATAGTGGATGCTTAATGATTAGAGTAAATGAATCTATGTAAGAATAATGAATGAATATATAAATGATTTGTAATTCAAGCCTACCTTCAAGCTTGTTATTTCGAGAATTCTGAAGCTTACTTCATTAGAAAAAAGTAGGTACAGCTAAATATGGGTTGGGGAGGAGAAGAATGGTTTTGGAAACTTGGCCAGAGGAAGACACAGATGTATTAAAGAGGCACTTGTGTTTCTTGCACTATTTTTTGTTTGGACTGAGTCAATGAATGTACTGTATTATTAGTGGTAAAAACATTTAAACTGTAGGCTGGTGGTTTTTATAGTCAAGGGAAATCCATGATGTCAAATCTGGGATTAACTGTTTCAGCTGAGACAGAGGGAAGAAAAGAAAAGAAAAGAAAAGAAAAGAAAAGAAAAGAAAAGAAAAGAAAAGAAAAGAAAAGAAACAGAGGGTAAAGTTTTCTAGAACTAGGAGGAAAAAATATATACATATACATATATATGTGT